GTAACGACCCTGTCAAAGAGGTCATTAACGACCCTGTTAAAGAGGCCAGTAACGACCCTGTCAAAGAGGCCAGTAACGACCCTGTCAAAGAGGCCAGTAACGACCCTGTCAAAGAGGCCCTAACTACCCTGTCACGTACGTCGTCACATACGTCTAGGAGGCAATATACAAGCCGCTGAGCGAGAGCTCCTACAATAACAAATACTCCAAAATATATTAACCGAACAACGTAGGTTCCCGAGCTAAATATAAATGAGTTCCAATCCTTGTCCCTCGGAGACCTATCCTATAGAGACCTATACGTATATATATATATATATATATATATATTATATTATATATATATATATATATATAATATATATATATTATATTGGTGTATACTGGCAGCAGGTTTTCTTTCAAACATGTTTCATTGAATATGACCGCATATTCTGTATTTATTATTTTCTGTTGTGGTGTTGTGTTTTGTGTTGTGGTTTCTGTTCTAGGTTCTGAATTATACCAACGGTCCAAGTGTCTTCTTATAGCAGCGTTTATTTCCGCGTTGCTATATCCGTTGTTCACCAATACCTGAGTTACTCTTTCAAACTCTCTACTCACGTTGCTCCATTCAGAGCAGTGGGTAAGCGCTCGACGAATTTAAGCATTGAGAACACTGGCTTTGTATCTTTGGGGGCACTCACTTCTACCGTTCAGGCATAATCCTATGTTGGTGGGCTTGGTATATACGTTGGTGTATATACCAAGCCCTCAGGTATTGGTGAACAACGGATATAGCAACGCGGAAATAAACGCTGCTATAAGAAGACACTTGGACCGTTGGTATAATTCAGAACCTAGAACAGAAACCACAACACCCCCAATAAAATTATATTACAAATCAACCATGCACAGTGAACATATAAAAGAGGAAAGAATAATGAAAGAAATAATCCGTAAAGGAGTAAAAAGCACTACTCCTAACCAAACATAAACCTGATAATATTCTACAAAACCAAGAAGACTTCCGAACTCCTTATCAAAAACAGCCCGAAGCCGACGGAGAACCCTCTACAGCAGTCAAGCGTTGTATACATGTACACTTGCCCCCACGAAGGATGTAACCTTCAATGTAAGTACATAGGTATGACGTCGACCAAGCTGACGAGGCGTTTGACATGCCATCTTCAATCTGGTGCCCCTAGGAATCACATGAGACAAGCCCATGACATTACTCTAACAAGAGAAATGTTGAACAAGAATACTTGCATAATAGACAAAACCCAAGATTCAAGAAGATTACAAATTCTTGAGGCAATTCACATAAGAATAGAGCGACCTACCATGAACACCCAAATCACGGAACTATTTACTCTACCCACCATGAGAGTAAGGACAAGACAAGAACATATCGATGCCAACACAGAAGACAATGTCCAACATAACAGGCCAATTACACTGGATTAATCTTTGAGTTTAGATAGGAGATGCCTCGTATGGGCCAATAAGCCTTCTGCAGCCCCATGTTTATCCCTTATGTATCCCCCCATGTTTTCACCTTCATTGTATTATCACCTGACCTAATGCGGGTATAAAATCAACTAGTATTGTAAGATCTGTTCACTTGAGAATGAACCATGGAGGTTCGAAACGTCGTGCAAATTATACAAATAAGTGTAATACACTCTATAGTAAATCACTTCTTTTCTTCACCTTAAAAGTACGAAAATGAGTTTTGGAGAACTCCTATTTCAATTAAGCCCTGATGCTAAGAAAATAGTTAGAGGGATAGAAGCCCTAAACCAGAAAATAATAAATACAGAATATGCGGTCATATTCAATGAAACATATATATATATATATATATATATATATATATATATATATATATATATATATATATATATATATATATATATATATATATATATATATATATATATATCCTATACGGAGACCTATAGACAGTATACAGAATACTGTATACTGTAGTTTCTTAGGTCAATCATAAGTATACGTGAGATAATTATATAGTGGAGACACAGACTAAGAGGAATAGACACTCTTACAGCGTATACAGATTAACAGCAAAACTTGTAGATTGATAACCACATCGACCAAGGAGGTATAAAGTGGATAGACGAATGGATGCTCTTCGTAGCCTCTAAAGACGAGAAAATGGGTGAATTGGCTCCCAACTAGTGCACAATCAAACTACAACTTTCTGGCCGTTAGCACAACGTTGTAGCTATGTAAAAAAAGTAAAGATACAGTACTCACCTAGTATTGCTTGCGGGGTTTGAGCTTCGGCTCTTTGGTCCCGCCTCTCAACCGCCAATCAACTGGTGTACAGATTCCTGAGCCTACTGGGCTCTGTCATATCTACACTTGAAACTGTGTATGGAGTCAGCCTCCACCACATCACTGCCTAGAAACCACAGTTACGTTCTCTGTTTGTATTTGCTATTTGTGCCTGCAGAATCGAGCTATTAACTCTTGGACCCCGCCTTTCTAACCAAATTTTCCTATATTATGTCTACTACATACATTTCTCTCTAACACACACACACATCGCTAGGAAGCAGCCCGTAACAGCTGTCTAACTCCCAGATACCTATTTACTGCTAGGTATATATTATTCTTATTCATTCTGAACTTCAATTTTTTCCACTTTCTAAATCCCCCAAGTATTTTAGAAGTCTATATCATGTCTCCTCTCTCCGAGACGGGGTTCGATGCAAATTTCTACCTTGAGGTGATTTCTGGGCTTAGCGACCCCGAGGCCCGGTCGTCGACCAGGCCTCCTGGTTGCTGGACTGGTCAACCAGGCTGTTGGACGTGGCTGCTCGCAGCCTGACATATGAGTCACAGCCTGGTTGATCAGGTATCCTTTGGAGGTATTTATCAAGTTCGGTTCAACTATGTTCAACCGACGCTCTGAACCTGGGGCCAGATTCACGAAGCAGTTACGCAAGCACTTACGAACGTGTACATCTTTTCTCAATCTTTGATGGCTTTGTTTACATTTATTAAACAATTAATGAGCTCCGAAGCACCAGGAGGCTTTTTATAACAATAACAACAGTTGATTGGTAAGTTTTCATGCTTGTAAACTGTTTCATAATTGTAAACAAAGCCGTCAAAGATTGAGGAAAGATGTACACGTTCGTAAATACTTGCGTAACTGCTTCGTGCATCTGGCCCCAGGGCTATGAGCAGTTTTTTTTAAGACCGCTCATTGCACACTTTCGTGCACCATATATAAACCTGTCCTCTCACAAATGACGGCTGAATTGCCCGTTTACTCGTATGGCCGAATATGGATCTAATTTGAAAATGAAAAAAATGAAAATAAATTTTGGATTTTTTTCCAAAACAGTAAGTTAAGGGTCCTCTGGTAGGTTAGGTGGGCAGGAAATTCTCCTAAAAAATTCAAAACGTCATGAAAAATGTTAATTAAAAGTTTCCTCTCCTAACCTTTCCGAGTAAGCCAGAGGACTCCAATAGAAAACGGGACAGTACATCACTTTCGTGAGCCGATTTCAATTAAAATTACGTCCATTTTTGGCCATAGCGCACCTACGAGCGAAAAGCGACGTTATTTTTAAGAGGACGGGTTGCACATACAGGTGTGTCCGAGACACCTGTATATGCATATGTATATGTATATGCACTTACACCTCGCTGCCGTCTCAGCAATTCTTACGGCTAAAACACACCTGCTTAAAGCTTCCTAACGTTTCCTAATGTAGATTACTTTTTAAGCTACGAAATCCTGATAAACATTATTATACATCCTTCATCTACATCCTTCGTTATTATAGAAGCTTCATACAGCTTCGTACGGCCGAAGCAATCTCCAGAAACATTTATAGCTATGACACCTAATGCATACATTATAACACACACACTCCACTTACACGGATGATAGCTACACAACCTGCGCTTGTCTTCAATACTCACAAGTACTGATTACAAGACTACGCTTCTCCAGTTTCATCATGGCTATGACAATCTTATTTTCGCTTACAACTTAAACACTCTAATCTGGAACAATTCGCGTTATAGAATAATACTGAGGTTGTTAGCTGTCTACATGTGCCTTCCATCTGCAATAAATTCATCCAAACTGTCAACACATTTCATTACAAAGCGTTCTGCAATCTTTGTTTCTGTGGGTATGTTTCATCTGTTTTTCTCTCTTGATCCTCTCTATCTCTACTTGTTGTAGGTGATCGCAGAGGACACTTGCGGCTGAGAAAACGAAAAGACAGTCGATGATAAAACTGATATCGCAATTGCTGCAAGCATAAGGATGTGGCAGAAACCTAGCACTAGATGATAAGGCTCATATCTTAATGGTAAAGTATGATACTTCAATGACTATGAAGAGGCATGTGCTAAGGAAAGCAGTCTGTAAGATTAGAGAACATAGGTGCATTGTGTACCCGCTCGACATCAGCGGTTGTTAAACCTAGATGCCAAGGTCCTCTCTCCTTTGAACAAATCCACAAGGGCCGTGACGAGGATTCAAACCTGCGTCCGAGAGCATCCCAGACGCTGCCTTAATCGCTGCGACATGGTAAAAGGAGTTGAAACCGAAGTTCTACGGAACTTACTGGATCCTGCAGCCTCTCCGAGGCACAAACCAGGGTTTTACACAACTCCCCCCATGCACTCGAGCTATGTCAATAGGCCGTTCTCCCTCTTCGCCCTTACTTCATTACACACAGAAATCACAATTGCATGATGCATCCTCTTTCCAAGTTCTGATCAAGGTAGCCAACACTGTCGACTCGCCTCAAAGTCTCGACCCATTCTAGCAGGACTGAATCAAAACCTCCAACACAAGTGATAAATTAACACCCACACATCGTGTCAGCAAGGCGGACAGCCCGCCTGCTTTCATACCTCTCACTGTATTTCCCACTTCTATACTTCCCTTCACCTATGCCTCTCCTTCCTCTTTACACCCAAAAAAAAAATGATAAATAACCCACGTATGACACGAAATAATAATGACGACGCTTGTCACCGACTTACGACACGACTCTACACGAGTGCACGAAGGCCCGACACGACTCTACACGAGTGCACGAAGGCCCGACACGACTCTACACGAGTGCACGAAGGCCCGACACGACTCTACACGAGTGCACGAAGGCCCGACACGACTCTACACGAGTGCACGAAGGCCCGACACCGACTCTACACGAGTGCACGAAGGCCCGACACGACTCTACACGAGTGCACGAAGGCCCGACACGACTCTACACGAGTGCACGAAGGCCCGACACGACTCTACACGAGTGCACGAAGGCCCGACACGACCTCACATCTCATTTCGTGTTGGTTATTTCTTTCAATTCAATTTCTTTCTTCATTATGCACCCCATACCCATCCCGTGGGCGGTGTTATTTCCTTCAGCAGCGTTACTGTTATATTTTTCCTCACCAGAGGAAAAGCGGTCTTAATTACTGTTACGCAAAATGTTAATATTCTCGAAGGTTCTCCACGCAACGCGACTTCGAGGATAGACGAAACATAATTCAAATAAAAATTTGTTCTTACCAGGTAACAGAAAAAAAACATGAAGATTACAGGTTAACGAAATAACAACAAAATTGTCCTGCTCTGGTGCCTCGGGTGTGACAAGATAACTATAGCCACCCTACGGAACATGTTTATCACCCCCTCCCCCAAAAAAAGTATTTAGAAAATTCTAAAAAAACTCTATTTTCAGGGAAGTTTAGGGAAAACCATATGACGATTGTGAGAAATTGCGTTTGTGTGAATATATTTGCGTAGCAAAGATGGTGAGGAACGACAGCTCGGTTGCCATCTTAATCCACCTACAGGTCGCTGTTGGCGGTCACGTCGTCGTCGTCGTCGTATTGGGCCGGGCTACGGGAAGATTGTATTAAGATTAAGCCTTACTACCCTCGATGCTCTGCGTCAAGCCTCCAGCGAAGTCCCCTCGACTCACACTGGTCGCCGGACTCCTAGACCCTACCTTAAGGAGCAGCATGGTTTGGCCCATTGGCTGGTTAGCAGTGGTTCCCCACGCCACCACCCAGACCTCCCCCACGCCACCACCCAGACCTCCACCACGCCACCACCACCCAGGCCAGGCCTCCCCACGCCACCACCCAGGCCTCCCCACGCCACCACCCAGACCTCCCCCACGCCACCACCCAGGCCTCCCCCACGCCACCACCCAGGCCTCCCCCACGCCACCACCCAGGCCTCCCCCACGCCACCACCCAGGCCTCCCCCACGCCACCACCCAGGCCTCCCCCACGCCACCACCCAGGCCTCCCCCACGCCACCACCCAGGCCTCCCCCACGCCACCACCCAGGCCTCCCCCACGCCACCACCCAGGCCTCCCCCACGCCACCACCCAGGCCTCCCCCACGCCACCACCCAGGCCTCCCCCACGCCACCACCCAGGCCTCCCCCACGCCACCACCCAGGCCTCCCCCACGCCACCACCCAGCCACCACCCTCCCCCACGCCACCACCCAGGCCTCCCCCACGCCACCACCCAGGCCTCCCCCACGCCACCACCCAGGCCTCCCCCACGCCACCACCCAGGCCTCCCCCACGCCACCACCCAGGCCTCCCCCACGCCACCACCCAGGCCTACCCCCCACGCCACCACCCAGGCCTCCCCCACGCCACCACCCAGGCCTCCCCCACGCCACCACCCAGACCTCCCCCACGCCACCACCCAGGCCTCCCCCACGCCACCACCCAGGCCTCCCCCACGCCACCACCCAGACCTCCCCCACGCCACCACCCAGGCCTCCCCCACGCCACCACCCAGGCCTCCCCCACGCCACCACCCAGACCTCCCCCACGCCACCACCCAGGCCTCCCCCACGCCACCACCCAGGCCTCCCCCACGCCACCACCCAGGCCTCCCCCACGCCACCACCCAGGCCTCCCCCACGCCACCACCCAGGCCTCCCCCACGCCACCACCCAGGCCTCCCCCACGCCACCACCAGGCCTCCCCCCCAGGCCTCCCCCACGCCACCACCCAGACCTCCCCCACGCCACCACCCAGGCCTCCCCCACGCCACCACCCAGGCCTCCCCCACGCCACCACCCAGGCCTCCCCCACGCCACCACCCAGGCCTCCCCCACGCCACCACCCAGGCCTCCCCCACGCCACCACCCAGACCTCCCCCACGCCACCACCCAGGCCTCCCCCACGCCACCACCCAGGCCTCCCCCACGCCACCACCCAGGCCTCCCCCACGCCACCACCCAGACCTCCACCAGCAGCAAGCACTTTTCATCTTCAGGTAAAAACAAACTTTCTGGACAATTCCCAAATGCACTGGTAAGAATCGCGTCCCTAAAAATAAGAAAAAAACACTACAATCTACTTACTACTTAAGTAGTAAGCAGCTACCCAAATGCAATAACCTGAAATTCACTTAATTGATAACACGTATCAGAGATAAGTGTACATGACCTATTCTAGAACCAACAACCATCTATACCTCACCCTTATAACCAAAGCCTATGCAGATGATTGCCAACACTGACATATACAAGAGGAGAAATGCCCACCACCATCTGGTTCATTAATCACCTTTACAACAACGTCTCTTTCACTCGATGTAAGTAACATTTGCTGCTAATAGAATTCTGACCATGTTGATAACTAGACAGCATAACATAACTACTGGGCAAAATACTTGAAGCAGCTTAGTGTCCAGTTAAGAAGTGGATGTCTTAAAACATAAGAACAAAGGCAATTGGAGAAGGCCTATTGGCCCATACGAGGCAGCTCCTATTTATAACCACCCAATCCCACTCATATACATGTCCAACCCATGCTTGAAACAATCGAGGGACCCCACCTCGACGAAGTGTACTGTTTTGCCTGTACATTTACCACGAAGCGCCGGAGCCAGCAAACAAGTTTGATTAGAGACAGCACTGAGATGTATCTCATACCTGTTCAACAACTCTGTTTAAATGGATTGGCCTCCAAACCTCCTCCAACCGCTGGACAAAGAGAACCATCCACGAAGATTTATCGTATGACAACTAACCCAAATTCATCTTTGAGTTATCTCAAAAGATCAATTCACTCAAGTTTTCCCAAAAGGCCCAACGTCGTAGACAACCACCAGATGACAATTACAGCACAAGGCGGTGCTCGTAGCCAATATAATTTTGGCGGCGCCATTATCAAGAGCACCACATCAAGAGTGATCGCTCATTCCTCGGCTGACCGCAATAACAACATGTTCTCTCACAAAGGAAGACAGTATCTACGGGCTCACCATAGCCCGTGCTACTTGAAATTGTTTGTTCCAAGTAGCGAATCTTTAACAACAACACAACAAACAAGGAAGATAAGATTCAAGACATAAAGAAAACAACATGTAAGTAATTTCTTGCCCCACAAACTGCTTCAGCTTCATGTATGAAACTTAACATTAAAATACATAAATACAGCGATGATAATTCGTTAATGATACAAAGATTTTTTGACTGTGATTATTCCTACTGATATATTATGTAATTCTCGGCTGGCGTTCAGCTGCACGAAGCCAAGAGAGGCTGGAGCTGAGTCAAGAAAAGGCTAATGCTGTTAGCTGTATGAATGGTTCAGCTAATAATGGCTCTATGAATGGTTCAGCTAATAATGGCTGTATGAATCGTTCAGCTAATAATGGCTGCATGAATGGTTCAGCTAATAATGGCTCTATGAATGGTTCAGCTAATAATGGCTCTATGAATGGTTCAGCTAATAATGGCTGTATGAATCGTTCAGCTAATAATGGCTGCATGAATGGTTCAGCTAATAATGGCTCTATGAATGGTTCAGCTAATAATGGCTGTATGAATGGTTCAGCTAATAATGGCTGCATGAATGGTTCAGCTAATAATGGCTGTATGAATGGTTCAGCTAATAATGGCTGTATGAATGGTTCAGCTAATAATGGCTGTATGAATGGTTCAGCTAATAATGGCTGTATAAATGGTTCAGCTAATAATGGCTGTATGAATGGTTCAGCTAATAATGGCTGTATGAATGGTTCAGCTAATAATGGCTGTATGAATGGTTCAGCTAATAATGGCTGCATGAATGGTTCAGCTAATAATGGCTGTATGAATGGTTCAGCTAATAATGGCTCTATGAATGGTTCAGCTAATAATGGCTGTATAAATGGTTCAGCTAATAATGGCTGCATGAATGGTTCAGCTAATAATGGCTGTATGAATGGTTCAGCTAATAATGGCTGTATGAATGGTTCAGCTAATAATGGCTCTATGAATGGTTCAGCTAATAATGGCTCTATGAATGGTTCAGCTAATAATGGCTGCATGAATGGTTCAGCTAATAAAGGCTGCATGAATGGTTCAGCTAATAATGGCTGCATGAATGGTTCAGCTAATAATGGCTGCATGAATGGTTCAGCTAATAATGGGTGTATGAATGGTTCAGCTAATAATGGCTGCATGAATGGTTCAGCTAATAATGGCTGTATGAATCGTTCAGCTAATAATGGCTGCATGAATGGTTCAGCTAATAATGGCTCTATGAATGGTTCAGCTAATAATGGCTGTATGAATGGTTCAGCTAATAATGGCTGTATGAATGGTTCAGCTAATAATGGCTGTATGAATGGTTCAGCTAATAATGGCTGCATGAATGGTTCAGCTAATAATGGCTATGAATGGTTCAGCTAATAATGGCTGCATGAATGGTTCAGCTAATAATGGCTGCATGAATGGTTCAGCTAATAATGGGTGTATGAATGGTTCAGCTAATAATGGCTGCATGAATGGTTCAGCTAATAATGGCTGTATGAATGGTTCAGCTAATAATGGCTGCATGAATGGTTCAGCTAATAATGGCTCTATGAATGGTTCAGCTAATAATGGCTGTATGAATGGTTCAGCTAATAATGGCTGTATGAATGGTTCAGCTAATAATGGCTGCATGAATGGTTCAGCTAATAATGGCTATGAATGGTTCAGCTAATAATGGCTGCATGAATGGTTCAGCTAATAATGGCTGCATGAATGGTTCAGCTAATAATGGCTGTATAAATGGTTCAGCTAATAATGGCTGTATAAATGGTTCAGCTAATAATGGCTATGAATGGTTCAGCTAATAATGGCTGTATAAATGGTTCAGCTAATAATGGCTGTATGAATGGTTCAGCTAATAATGGCTATGAATGGTTCAGCTAATAATGGCTGTATAAATGGTTCAGCTAATAATGGCTGTATGAATCGTTCAGCTAATAATGGCTGTATGAATGGTTCAGCTAATAATGGCTGTATGAATGGTTCAGCTAATAATGGCTGTATGAATGGTTCAGCTAATAATGGCTGTATGAATGGTTCAGCTAATAATGGCTGTATGAATGGTTCAGCTAATAATGGCTGTATGAATGGTTCAGCTAATAATGGCTGTATGAATGGTTCAGCTAATAATGGCTGTATGAATGGTTCAGCTAATAATGGCTGTATGAATGGTTCAGCTAATAATGGCTGTATGAATGGTTCAGCTAATAATGGCTGTATGAATGGTTCAGCTAATAATGGCTCTATGAATGGTTCAGCTAATAATGGCTGTATGAATGGTTCAGCTAATAATGGCTGTATGAATGGTTCAGCTAATAATGGCTGTATGAATGGTTCAGCTAATAATGGCTGTATGAATGGTTCAGCTAATAATGGCTGTATGAATGGTTCAGCTAATAAAGGCTGTATGAATGGTTCAGCTAATAATGGCTGTATGAATGGTTCAGCTAATAATGGCTGTATAAATGATTCAGCTAATAATGGCTGTATAAATGGTTCAGCTAATAATGGCTGTATGAATGGTTCAGCTAATAATGGCTGTATGAATGGTTCAGCTAATAATGGCTGTATAAATGGTTCAGCTAATAATGGGTATGAATGGTTTGCGCACAACAGTCAAATTTATATATATATATATATATATATATATATATATATATATATATATATATATATATATATATATATATATATATATATATATATATATATATATATATATATATATATATATATATATATATATATATATATATATATAGTCATGAATGTGCAACATTAATGAACAATTGCACAACCAAACTAAGACATATGTTTAACAGCAGGTCAAAATAACTAAACTAATTTACTATGTCAGTCATTGTAAGGTTCAGGTCTCTGATGGCATCGAAACCTCTCTAAAATAGTGAAGAAATCCACAAGGGCCGTGACGAGGATTCGAACCTGCGTCCTGATGCGTCGAAAATTTCCACAACTGGAAAACATACTAAAATTTCCACACCCGGAAAACATACGAAAATTTCCACACCTGGAAAACATACTAAAAATTTCCACACCTGGAAAACATACTAAAAATTTCCACACCTGGAAAACATACGAAAATTTCCACACCTGGAAATGCCTCTTAGAAAATGACCGGACACACGGGGCTTTTGTCTAGAAAATCTTTTAACAGCTGTTTTCCGTTCAGCTGAAATATTATATAGAAAACATATTGTTCAACTTGTGTGTTCAAACACTGATGAACAGCAAATCCAGAAGTAGGCCTACACGTACGGAACACAAGAAGAAGAGAGACAGACACACAATAAGAGAGAATTATACCAAAACAGTGAGGAAATAAAGTACTCAAAAGGTGTATAAACCCCACAAAAAGAGAGGCTTATAAAAACACAAGACAGCTACATTATAAGAACACAAAAAGCAAACACCCCCTCAAAAAAAAAAAAAAAACATGAACGGGCAAACAAAAGATAAGAAACATGTGCAAAACAGGGGGGGGGGGATAGACACAAAAAATTATGGGACAAAGGATGAGAGAGAGAGAGAGAGAGAGAGAGAGAGAGAGAGAGAGAGAGAGAGAGAGAGAGAGAGAGAGAGAGAGAGAGAGAGAGAGAGAGAGAGAGAGAGAGTGGGAGAGAGGGGGGGGGAAGAAAGAAGGTGAGGGGGAGATGGAGTTAAAGAAAATGAAGAAGGGTTAAGCCGACGGCTGGGACTGGGGAGGTGGTGGCGGGGGGAGGGGTGGGGGGGGTGGGAGGAAGACCCCCTTCAGCAGACTCACAATACGAGGCTGAGAACTGGAGGTCTTTGATACATTTACGAGTGCGTAGAGCGGAGGTGGAGAGGGGCCAGCTTGTCTCTGCACTCCATCCCTCACACTCAAGAACCCCTCGCTAAAAATACCCCCATAATACACACACACACTCACACAAATAAATTAAGGGGCAACTTTTTGGTCAAATAAGCATGTAAGGGACATCCAGGGACTCTCCAGGGACCTGGAGAGAGAAGTGGAGACGCAGAACTCCGCACCTGAATGAGAACACACACACATATTGCATTAATCTAGTAACGTTAAGTAGCCTAGCTTCCTCCCCCCCCCCCTGCAAGCAAATCTAGGAGAATACATCTAGTTGAACACATCAACGTGTGTACACTTATACAATACTTGACTTTATCTTCACCCAGAATGAGGCAGATCATGAGGTACACCAAGAAATTCCCACGAGTGCCTGTGTTCACTGTATGCTAACATTTGAGTATTTTGTCGATTTGATACTCAAAAGGGAAGATGATACGAAAACTAACCATACAATATACAACTATGTAAAAATAAGCCGGACAGACCTTCAGTATATATCTAACTCTGATCACAACACTGCTTTATGGTAGAGAAATCATGCCTAATGAACTTACTGGAGTTCTATGATAAAATAACAAACACAAGAAAGGACAGAGAATGATGGGTAAATTGTGCATTTCTGATACAGTTCAGCATAAGCGACTATTTTTTTTTAATTTTGCCCCGAGGGGGGCGAGTTTATTGGGCAGCGCCACTCATCCTGTGAGTGGGCATTCCATCTTAGCATTATGTCATATGTCATTCCAGGTCATAGCTTTCAATCCCCTAAGTCGACTTTTGCATGTTCTTATGAGGTGGTTGAGGTCCTTTTTCTTCCCCTTGTGAGAGTCGACAATGCCACCAAGGCACCGGTAGTGGTCAACCCATTCAAGTGTTTCACCATAAATTTGTGGTTCATTTCTTCCCGCTTGTGATGAGAGTATGCTTTTGTCTTGTTTGTGGAGAGAGTGAAACTGAGCTCAATACATTTCCTTCCAAGGAGTTCAATAGACTGTTTACTTTTTCCAGGGTTGGGGCTTGTATTAGGACATCATCTGCATATCCCACTTGTTGTGTTCCTTCCGGAAAACCAATATTTGCAATGGCGTTCATAAGTACATTGAATAGTGTGGGGCTTTAGACTCCTCCTTAGAGGGTCCCGAGTTCCATATTCATTGTTCTGGAGACTGCTCCATTGAAGCAAACCTTGGCTTTCCTCCCTGTGAGGTAGTCTTCAATCCATTACATGACTCTCCCCTTGACACCCATGCATGCAATCTTGTAATCCCCAGCGCTTTGTCGAAGGCTCCTTTTATTTCAACAAATACAGAATACTTTGCTGTGTCATTAGCCAAGGAATTAATTATACAATTTGTTGTGCTTCATCCTTTAACAAATCCATTGACCCCCTTCCCTAGCCTGTCTATTTTGTGCAACAGTCGGTTTAGGATGATCCTTTCAAGCATCTTGCAAGTGTATGACACGAGACTGATAGGTCTGTAATTACCAGGGTCATTGGGCTTCGGTATGGGAACGATTATTGTGTTTCCATTGTGTGGGCAACACTCCACTTTGGAATGACTTGTTAAACAGGTGGAGTACTGGATTCCCAGACACTTCACACAGTGCATTGAGTATGTCGTAGGTGACGCCATCCTCACCAGGTGCAGTACTTTTACCCCTTTTTCATAGCCCCCCTTACTTCCTGGGCTATGATTGGTTGCCTATTACTCGTCATCATTAGACTGTGCTGTTGTCATTGTAATTTCTCTATCATTATGTCGGAGGAGCTGTTCCTTGCTTATTTCTGCAGGGAGGGAGGAGGATGCTGCACTTGTGTATTAGTTCCTCAGCCTTACCCTGAGGGTCTCTGCGAGCCGCAGGCCGGGCTCTACTTCCCTTAGTTATCTGAATTTTTGCCCACACTTGTCTTGCAGATGTTTCTCTTCCACTTCAGTGGAATGACTATGATTAAACAGACTACGGAAACATGCAAGTTATAGATTAATACATACCCCTAGATACTTAATAAAGGAATTATTGGAGAATGAATAAAAGAACAAAGATTAGTTCCTTATTATTTATTTAGTAGCATGTAATAGAATACAGCCTAGCTGACATTCCTAACTCAGCAAGGCAATTAGAGATCACATTACTGAACAAGGGGATATTCTCATAGTCCCTTGGGACACCACCAGTGAATACACTAGTCAGTTGTTCAAGAACCTGCCTAAAAATTATATGTTCCTTAAAACTGCATTAACAAATTAAAATTACCAACACACATCGCCCGAAGCCTGAGTATACCGTTCATCCCCAGCACAGTCAACCAACAAGCTTCTAGGCTGACAACAGTCCTCTTGTTTTCATGGCGTGAAAGTGAAATCATTTTGACACCTAACCCACAAACCTAACAATGAAACCCGATATATGTACAGTACATATGGAAGTACATATGGAAGCTGATCAGAATTGCATTTCACCTTTGTTAATTTGCACATTAATGACACTTCGAACACTTTATGTAGGGCATACG